AGTCATCGACACTATTTTGGCCGCCAGGCGACCTTCCACTACACGAATTTATGATGCCACTTGGAAGGGGTTCTGCAAGTGGTGTAGCGGGTCTCAGGTTGATCCCCTCTCTCCCTCTGTGGCTCAGATCCTAGATTTTCTTCAGGAAGGCCTTCGTAAGGGGCTCGCACCTAACACCCTGAGACGACAAGTTTCTGCCCTCTCAACCGTGGTCTCCTGTGATAACTACGGTTCCCTTTCTCATCACCCCCGAATTAGATCTTTCCTTAGGGGTGCCACCAACCTGTGCCCTCCCACTGTTCACAGGTTCCCCACATGGGACCTCAACAAGGTCCTCGTTTCTCTCACACGTTCCCCGTTCGAACCTTTGAGGGATTCATCCCTTCAGTTTCTCACCTTTAAGGTAGTTTTTCTAGTAGCTATTACTTCTGCTCGTCGAGTTTCGGAAATAGCAGCTTTGTCAGTTAGGAGCGATCTATGTGTATTCCACGCTGATCGGGTGGTCCTTCGTCCTGACCCCACATTCCTACCCAAAGTTAACTCTCCCTTCCATAGGTCACAGGAACTGGTTCTACCAAATTTTTGCCCTAGGCCCTCCAGGGGCAGGGAGGTCCTCTGGCACACCCTAGATGTTAGAAGGGCCTTGCGTATATATATTAAGCGCACTCAATCCATGCGAAGGTCGGAATCCCTCTTCCTATCCTTTCAACCCAGGTCACTGGGGCTTAAGGTTTCTCCTTCCACCATCAGTCGCTGGATCAGGGCTACTATTGCGAGGTGCTACCTTTCCCATTCTCTGCCCGCTCCGGGTGGAATAACCGCCCATTCCACCAGAAGTGCAGCCACCTCGGCGGCCTGGGCCACACAAGCCCCCATCGCTGACATTTGTCGGGCAGCCACCTGGTCCTCTCCGTCCCCGTTTATCAGACATTATAAAATAGATACGTACGCCTCAGCGGAGGCCTCTTTTGGCCGACGGGTCTTACAGAGGGTCATCAGTGATCCGGAGGGGCCTTCGGGCCAGACGGAGTCCCACCCGTAGGACAGCCCAGCTTTGGTATGTCCCAGTCTCTGGATGCTCCGAGCGGCTCGAGGGAGAATGGGCGTTGGTTCTTACCTGATACGCCCCTTCTCGGCGGGCCGCGAGGAGCATCCAGCCCCACCCTAATTTCTCCGTCTGGTGGGGAATCTTGCTTCAGCCAAGGAGCCAATAGTAGATTAGAAAGAATTAATAACCTCTCTTCTCGTTATCGCAAAAAACTGGGGAGACGCTGCGCGATACCACGTGAGGGGGCGGAGCGTTTCCTCATCTAAAGCTCAGCCTGCAAGAAGAGGACTCAGAAGCACATCCCCCAGTCTCTGGATGCTCCTCGCGGCTCGCCGAGAAGGGGCGTATCAGGTAAGAACCAACGCCCATTTTCTGTGTTATCTTAGTTTAAGATAGGTTTTCCGGTGTAATTTATTAAGTATCAAAAACATGAATAAAAAGTAAAAAAGTAAAAAAAGAGACAAAAAGCAATATAAAAGTGCAAAAAAAGAAGAAAGTAAAGGAAAAATGTCTTTCAATTTAAAGAAAATACTAAATTTTACTCTAAAATTAACGGTAGTCTATATTACTTCTATAATCTCATACAATTCTAATCATCAAATCCCAAAATCAAAATTACATATCTCTTATTTTAGAAGTCCAAAAGTGGCTTCATTAACAACTTGATGTTAATAGAAGTATCTATTTACAGTATCTTTCCATTTATTGTTCAGAAGAGGTTGGCTCAGCTTTCTGCACAATACCTTCATTAGTGAAAGTCAAAATTCAAGAAGTATGTACAACAGCTTATAGAGGCAACTCAACTGAGAATGAGGATTTTTCATGTGGAATGGCTGGGTGGATTATAAGTGGACATGAAAAGAATGCCTGTGTTCTCTAATACTTCATAGCCAATAGCTTGTAGTGAAAAATAGTATGTAATTCTGAAGTGAATTGCTATGATTTTAATACTTCATTGTTATGTAATATACCCTATTAATTAAATTCAGGTTCAAGGGAAAGCAGAGGAAAAAAACATTATTCTTTTGTTAATATTTTTGTTTAGTTTAAGGGTTTCCTGCTACTGATTAAGTAACATTTGTTTTGTTCTAAAATGATATTGATACTCTCTATACAAATATAATATTCTATACACGCTTATTACATAACTTCTGTTTTAGTTTGTTGTTATTGGAAATGCTTCTTTTTTATGATTCATTTGAGTTCAAAGTATTTTGGCCAAGCCTGATTGTTTCCTTCTAATCTGTGCCTCTGGACTTTGCTCAACCCCACACATCAACATCCTGATATGTGAAATGAATCTTCTCATCCATTAGATAACAATATAGTGTGATGTATTCTGGTAAAATCCTCTGTTTGAGGGACTGTCCCACACACATGATATTTAAAGATATTTAAAGATATGTCCCTGAAAAATATGTGAATATAAGTGTGCAAAAATAAGAAATATGTTTCATTTTACACCCAGAACAAAACATCCCCATGAAAATATTCCATTGGAGTGTTCTGACTTGGCTAGGGGCAAGCATTTCTTTCTTTATTTGGCTTGTATGGCAGCCAAAACAGAAAGGACTCAAAGGTTTAGAAAACAATATGACCTCAGAATAGATCTTCAACTCTTATTTATCAATTTACAGTAGACATATGCTTCTAAATCATATAGATTCATGGCAGTTTATAAGCAAGTAAAACCAAAATAAAATAAATTTTCAAAGACAAAACAATCAGGACAATAGGCAGTAAAGCAATAATAATGCAATACTCATGTTTAATAGCCACACTATACACAGCAGCATACAATGGCAAAGTATGCATTTTTGAAGCATGACATTTACATCTTTAAACATTAAGATCTTTTTTGCCATAGCTGTATTTACAGAAGTTATGACCTGAAACAAAAATAAGAACCAGAATAGAACAGATCAGATGATAAGTCAGAGAGCCTTTGAATTTCTCACATTGCTAACATGAAAAATTGACAACCATCCTTTAAAAAATGTACTTTTTAAAAATCCTGAAGTCATGGAACAAGATTTTCTGATGAATGAACTTCATCCTTCAATTATTAGTTCATTCTAATTCTATCTGTATCCAACCTCTAGGAATATCAATAATATCAAAATACTTCTGTCAAGATCAGAATAGATGTTTTGAATTCAAAACAGAGCATTTTATACTTAAAGTGGAGTATTCTGAGATGTCTCAAATATAAAGTATGTTGTACACCAATATTTCCTTTCTTCTTCTCTATACATACCACAAATATGTACACTTAATTACATTTATTTCTTCTTAGACATTAAAAATCCTTAAAGGAGGATTATGTTATTGCCCCTTTTATCGACAAGACCCTGGGCTTAAAACCTGGTTCTTGAAGTAGGTGGGAAAAAGCTGAGATACATAAATAATACTTCTGAAAAAGCCAGAGGGACCAGAGGTTTAGTCTTTCGAGCTTTCGGACTCATGCTGGAACCGATCTTCAGTGACCGCCTCTCTAGCAGAGTGTATGCTTTGGACAATTCTGTGTGTGGTATTTATATGATGCCTGGTTGTGTGTGGCTTTTTAGTTGTTGATTGTGGTGTTGATTGCCAGCTATTAAGTCGTTGACTATTGTTTTTGTCCTCTTTCAGGTTATGTATTTGTTTCATGTTATTCTAGTTGGGAGAAGTATTTTTCATGTGTGGTACTGTCTTTTTAGTCAGGACTAAATTCCAACAAGTTGACAATCAGCCCAGAAATTCCAAGGCTTCATTATTTTCAGTTTTGATGGTTGATTCATTTATATCATATTTGCATTATTCAACATCAAATCTATGCAATGTTTGTTTTTGTTATTTGATTTAATAACATCTAATTAAAATTGAAAGAAATGGAGAACTCCCAGAAATGCTTTTTGGAGTGTTTTGTACTAATTTTTAGCTCTTTATAAGTTGTTATAAGTTATTAGAATTGATCTGTTTCATTCTCCAACCCAATCCGGTTTCTCTGGAATTGAAAAAACAATGAAATTACTCATTTTTCTTCCAAGGCTTTAAGTAAATGTGAAAAGCATGGCATTACTGCTGGGGATAAAATTTTATTCGATGTTTAAAGAGAATGGAAGTGACATTAGTAGTTTTTACTAGTCTGTGTGCTAATAATTGTTCATATTTATGCAAAACCTATTTCTGGCAATTAATAGCATGTAACCTAATGCAGAGGTATTTTTGTTGCCTGGCATATTCTAGGTCTATGGCATTAGTGGTTTATGCTGTATTATATGTGTATATGCAGTAGCACAGTTAGCTTACATGTATGCTATTTAATAACAAATAGAAGTTAAATTCACTATATATCCATATATGTTTCGTTGACTACACCTCCACAGCTTAACAGCTGCCTCTTAAATTGAGCATTTTATTTCATTTCAGCACTTTTATGCTTACAGGTGGCATGCAAGCAACATATATTGCTCATTATTGCAATGAGCTAATGGCTAAAAAAATAGAACTACATTGTACAGTCCTCTTACTTTTCATTTATTTAAGGCCCCAATACTGTTTTGTATTTGAGAAATCGCACACAAGCAAAACTAGCATAATTGTAGTTAGTAACATAATTGGATTGGTTTCTAAAGATTCACGTCATATGTTCCTGGCTTATTTGGCGTATTGAACATTCATGTTTATATTATGTAACATTTTGGAGTAGTGGGTAGAATATCTATGAAGCATTGAAACTGAAACATTTTGTTTGCTTATGGCTAATCCTTTCATCTGAACTTCTACTAGTGCTCTACCTAAAACTGTTAAAGCAAGAGAGCTAGAAATGTGAAGTGTGGAAAGAAGACATGTTCAAGCATTCCCAAGCATCACTTTCTATGTTTTCTTGCTCCATATTGCTTACGTGTAAATGAAATCAAAGAACATACTGTGCTTACATTTCTGTTTGTGTTTTTAATTGTTGTTGTAGGAACAAATCACAGAAATGATCCAGAAAGTTTAATCCCCTCTACCTTTTTGTGATGGAGTTGAAAGTCTGGGTAGATGGAGTCCAACGGGTTGTATGTGGCGTTTCAGAACAGACAACATGTCAGGAAGTTGTCATAGCATTGGCACGGGCCATTGGTAAGTAGTTTTTATGTTCATGATGTCTAAAAGGATTTATGCAGTCCACTCCTAAGCATGTTTACTTAGAAATATCTACCACTGAGGAGGTTTACTTCCAAGATAATTGTATATAGAATTGCAGAATAATCTCCTGTCCAAAATTCTTTTTAAAAGCCGATTAGCAAAATAGTGCTTTATTCATGTCTTATCCATGTTTTAGAGAAGAAGAAATTGTGTAAACAATTGACAGTTGCATAAATACAACAGCTTGAATGATTAGAGGCTTTTTCACAATGTGGTGTAGATTTTGTCAACATTTCTTTCTTCTAAAGCAGTATTTTTCAATCTTGCCGATTTTAAGATATATAGAGTTATACTCTCACAATTATGGCTGCAGAATTCTGGGAGTTGAAGTCCACACATCTTAACATTTCCAAAGTTGGAAAAACACTTTTAGAAATTATTGTTTCCAAGTTTTGCAAAATTATTTTAAATACTCTTTTCTGCTAGTTCACCCACTCCATCTTTAACAGATTTTACTAATAAAGGTTTGTTTTCACAAACTAAGAATACCCTTTTATGCTGTGAAATCTTTTTTGTCCTCCCTTATATCGCACCTTCCTTACATTGCTTGCCCTCATGTGACCGTGTGGCATCAGGGGGGAAAAAAATCAAAGGGGAAAATTTTGTATTGGCTTACAAGGTAGTCTCTAGATTGGAATTCTACTTTGCATTGAATGGGGTGATCATGCCAAGTCTAGGGTAAAACTGGACTTTGGTTGTGTTCATAGCATGCTGGCCAAAATATACCAGAACTGACTGATACTATTCATAATTAACAAGCATGGAAAATGGCATATAGTATGGCTATAAAAAAAGCTGGTCACCAAGACTACAGCTCCTTTATCTTACTAAAAAGCATTATGTCAAAACCAAGAAAACTATATCAGAGGTCTGTACGCAATGACTGTGATATACAGATAATTACCACTAGGAATGTAAAAGGAATTTAAGATAAAAAAACTGAATTCACAAATGTTTTTTTTAAAAGAATGAAATTAAGAAACGACTGAATAGATCTGCATGAAGATATTCTGATCTTGTGGAATAGAATTCATGAATAGATGCATGGAAGTATGGATGTAAATTTAGTTATGAATGAAAGGGCAAAATTAATATCAGACAGTACAGTATATGTTGTATCTAGATTGGTTTGGGTAAATATACAGGTAGGAATTCCTGGATTGGTAATAGTTTTTAAGTTATGTTACAAATTAAGGTTGAAGTTTGGGAATGCAACATTTTGAATGAATGCAGTTGGGATAGGATGGGATGGATTTTTTTATTTTCTTTTTGTTAAATAGCATGAATGGAAGTTTGAAAATGAGAGTACAAGTGTGTGTGTGTGTGTGTATGTGTGAGAGAGTGAGTGACCAGGAATGAATGAGAATGATTATGAATAACTGGTTGGAAGAAGTGCTGTTGGTTTTAAATACATGGTTTAAACATATGTCCTTTCATGTATTCATACAATAAAGGAAAGAATCTTGAAGCAAGATGGAATTGGTTGATTATAATGAAATGTTGAGAGAAGGTGATGAGAGGCTGTTGAATTTGGGACAAACTGCTATTCATACAATCAAAAGAAGATAGGGGGAGGGGAATGGGCATAAAAGGAAAGGAAATGAGTACAAATACTTCTATAGAACGACTACAAAAATTAAGGTGTCTTATTGAGGAAAATAGAGATCAAATGTTGAGAGGAAGTGCAGGTGAACTTCTTGTTCAGTGACAGTTCCAACTTATGATGGCACTGAACAAATGGTAGATATAACCAGACAGCCCGCATCCCTACAGTCACATCATTGTGATTTGCAACCTCCCCTGCCAGCTTCTCAGAAGCAGAGTCAATGGAGAAGCTGGCAGGAAGTTGAAGGTTGCAGTCACTTGAGGTCCTCGCTTAATGACTTATGTGGCCCTTGTTTAATGATGGCAGCTGCCAGAACTGTCCTTAAGCAGCATAATTAGATGGTTTTTCAACTTGCAACCAGGTTACTTAACAGTGAAGTTTCTAGTCCAATTAACTTTGTTAAACTAGGATTACCTCGAGTATAGAGGGACACAGAAGCTGCTTGAAGAGAGTGAGGAGAATCAAACTACAGAATCCAGTGTAAAAAGTTAATTCCAAGAAGGAGTATGGAAAATACACAGAGTGGAATGAAGTGAAAAAAGGACTGTGCATGATAAAAATCTACATAAGTGAACAGTTGTTGCTGTACATTAGCATGAGAGAAAGATGCTGGATAATTTGTATGTAGAGCAAAGAGAAAACATAGGAAAGAGCATATAGCAATAGCACTTAGACTTATATACCGCTTCACAGTGCTTTACAGCCCTCTCTAAGCGGTTTACAGTGTCAGCCTATTGCTCCCAACAATCTGGTTCATCATATAGTTAGAGAGACAAAGAAAAGTTAAGATTAAATTGATAACTCCATGGAAAAAAATAATGAAAAAGATGAGAATGTTGAAAATTTGTAAAGTTGCAGCTGTAGATAGTATAAGCGGAGAAATGTAATATGAATGTGGTATGCTTGTGGAGTGGCTGTGCAATTTGGTTAATATTTTGAAGCCTGTGTTTGCCTTTCGATTGCTAGAATGCTATTATTTTTCCTCTGTACAAAGAGAAGGTAGGAAAAGAAAATGCAAAAACTACAGAAGGATTAGTGTGTTAAGCATGCTTGGGAAAGTGTTTGGCAGAATTCTGGCCAAAAAATATGTGAATGAGCAAAATTTGACAAGTGCTGTATGGCTCTATCACATGCAAGAACAGATATTGCTCTTCGGCAGGACATATGAATGTAGATATTTCTATATGTAAATTATATATATTATATATATGAGAGATGTGAGAATGTGAGAGAGTAAGTTTATTGCAAGTTTGTTGATCTAATGAAATCATTCAATAAAATGAATGTTTTGCATGAATATGGAATCACAGGATGATTGTTCATTGCATTAAAAGTGGTGTAATATGGAAACAAAGCATACTTAAAAATAAATGAGAATCTCTCTGAATAGTTCAACTCTGAGCAGGATAAGACGATGGGTATAATGTCCCTTGGTTGTTTAATGGATTTATGCATTGTTGTATAAGGCATGCTTGTCCACCCAGAGTCATTCGATATGAGATAGGCGGCAAATAAATTTTATAAATAAATAATTGTGCAACATTAGAAGTGTGTTGATCAGGGATGTGAATGACCATGACTGCCATGGAGTGGATTGAGAATCCAATTGATTTGCAGCAAATATTAGAAAATTATATTATGGAACAAGGAGCATATATCTGAAAATTAATGTAACAAAGATCAAGTAATTATTTTTCACAATTGGAGTGAACAATTGGGAGTGATACACGCATAATAAAAAATAAAGCAAGTATCCAAATTTGTTACTTGGCAGAATGTTTGTTAAATATGGAAAAAAATAAGACTTGAAAATATGTTAGAAACATTTTGGATAATTTGTGTGAAGATTATTTGTTAAATGAGCAAAAATGCTGCATATAAGAGCATGCCCATTTTGCTATAGTGACCACATATAGTGAAAGAGCACGCTAATGCATTTAGTGTGACATTTTTCTCAAGTGCGTTTGTAATATTAGTATATAAGGTATCAACATAGATGAGGGTCTCGGTGAAAGTCATGTTTAAATTGAAGAAATGTTGCTGCATGAATGCATAAGCCACTTCTCAAATCACCAATCACCAATTAAAAAACTCTTTTTCTAAGGCTAAATTTTCATTTATGGAGGCATCTTATTTGGGTATATAGAAGCAATTAAAGAAGAAGAAAAAAATTGAAGACCATTGGCAATCCTGCTTATTACTTAATTATACACAGGCTTATCTATGTCTCTTTGGGAATCAGCTGCCCCATTCTGCAAAGCTTTTTACCTTTGGGTGGTAATGGGTGTTGGCTGGCAAGGAAAATTACTGTGGAATGTGAGCTTGATATAGCTGGATAGGAGAAAGGAAGTTTACTGGTGTTTTTGTAACGAAGAAATCTTGTCCTCATAATATCTGTCTTGTTTTCTCAGGTCAAACAGGCCGCTATGTTCTCATTCAAAGACTACGTGAGAAGGAGAGACAGCTGCTCCCACATGAATGTCCTGTAGAGTTTCTATCCAAATGTGGCCAATATGCCCAGGATGTGCAATTTATATTGCAGCGTACCGGCCCCAGCCTCATAGAGAGGCCTTCTTCAGACAATGCCCCCCAGATACCCGAGAGGACGTTTGTCAGGGCTAGCTTGCCTATTAAACCTAGACCACTCAGTACAGAAGTACCTAGAACCAGGCAACCCAAAAAATCTTTAACTTTCAACTTGGGTCCCGGGAGTTCAGGTGATGCCTGTGCCAAAAACAAGCTGAGACAGCCCAGAAAGGACCCAACGTGTGTTAGAGATGGAGCCAGAGGGGGGTTACTTTCCAAAGAGGAGCTATTCAAGACTGTCCTATACCAGCAGGAGCATCTCTACACCTTGGAGATGCAAGGTGATGCCTTGGAAATGGACATCAGGCATTGGGAATCCAGCCAAGGCTCTTATCAGGAGGATGAGATTTTGCGGCTAGAGCAGCTGGTCCACCAAAATGAGAGCCAGCTGAGTGAGGAAGAATTTTGGCAGAATGAACTACAGTCAGAAAAGGAGCATGAAAGGGAGCGGCGGGAGAAAGTGCACAGCCTGAGGGCCACAATGGAGGAGTACACCAAAAAAATCCATGAGCTTATGGTAAAAACAGAGACCTTGGAAAGAGAAATCCAGTGGGAAATTGCTGAGAGAGGCAAGAAGACCAAGGAAACTTCTACCCAGAATCCTACTGAGTTAGTGGGGATGGCAGCTAAAATAAAGAGAGACCTGGAATCCAAGGCCAAGCAAACCGCCCAGCTGGAAAGCAGCCTGGATACCGTGGGGAGGGCCTTGGAGGAAGCAGAGTACAATCTGCAGGTTTGTGCTTAGAGTTAATGATCCTTTTCCTTAGCAAGCCGTGTGTGAGTCCAAAGGATTGTTCTTCACCATGTGTGTTCATGATATGCTTCTCTGATTTTGCTTGCTTCTAATTACTGTTTGGCAACAGATACTCCATGCTGCATCTCTGCTACATGTGTTTTCTCCATGATAATGCTGAGAAGCAGAATTAGATGCCTACAGTAGATCTCTTTGGGAACTACCTTCAAATTATGTTCAAGTATGCGATTACGTGATCCAAACAAAAATGTTGCAAATCAGCATCATAACCAAACTGCATTTTTAATTTAAGCTGGATATTAATTTCCTCTCTCTCCACCTTATACATATGCTCTATGGCTTCATGAAGCTATCCTATAATTAAGGTGACTGTTAAAACACTTCTAGCTACTTTCATGTCCTATAAGATTTGAGGAGAGGGGGGTGGAATGGCTAGTTTTGATTAATTGCATGTAGTAAGCTAATTTTGCCTTTCCTATCTTGTACCATTCTGATATGGAGGCACTACAGTGCCCAGTATTTCCAATCAGCACATTCATTGTTTTATACTGGATAGAAATTCTGTAAATTATATAAACTTCTTATCCTCACAGTTCTTTGTCTTCAAAGAAAGTTGCTTTTCATTTTATGGTATAATAGGACATATAAGAATATAATACCTGAAGTATAGTAGGCCGGCCAGGCATAAACTCTTATAAATGAATTTATTTTTCAGTAAGTATAAAGATTAAAACACTGGATATGTTGTGAATCTGCCACAGCCCATATATGTCTTTTTTTGCAATTCTGTGATCAAAGAAACATCTGAGAATTTCCATTCTTGCTGAAAGGAAAATGTAACTACCTACATAATGTACTAAGTCATTTGGAGAGTGAAGACAGTTTTTTATTTAAAATATGACAAGCACAAATATGCTATCTTGTTGGCCTTTTTTTGGACTGGAGGCTGACTAAATGAGAACTCCATAAGAATGCACACAACGTCTAGCTATTGTCTACTTCCTCACTTCCTCCAAGATTCATCCAGTGTGGCATCTGTATTAATTCATTATGTCCCCTATCTAAAGTAAAATACTAAAGATCGTCACTACTTATGACTGGATGAGAAAAGCAAAAAGGAGACTTTCTAAACTGAAATTCTCTGCAACTCTGCATCGTATTTCATTCTCTGCCAGCTATAATAAGCCTTTAATTTGTTTAATGTTATTTAGAGTATTATTCATGTTCTGGGTGCTTAGTTCCACTGGATGCAGAGTTATGAAGTAAAGATATTTGTGTCCAAATACTTACTTAATCTGTCGCCTACTCCTACTGAAATGTTGTTGGTTATCAGATTCCTAGGTTCTCTCTTATAACATAGGACCTACATTAGAAACTGTGTCTGTCTGTAAAACATGTTATATATGCACTGATATGCCCTCCTCCCAACATTTTTCCTCCTTTATGGTAGAATAACTAGCATTGTGCACTGAATTCTCTATGTCCATGATAAAATAGATATAGGCCGTCTCTTGTAAATAGAGTTTTTTACAAAAACACTTTGTAAATAGAGATGTTTTATAGCAGCTGACTTTAATCAAATCCCTGGAATGAGGAAAGCACCCAAAAACTGACCAGTGTGATGTAATGTGAGATGGGCAAGACTACCTTTGGCTGCCTTTGCCAAAGTGTGTTTGGAAGAGAGCTGATCTTGAGATTATGTACATTTTGATATCTTATAATAAATCACTTTGAAGTATTGGATGGATTTCTACTTCTATCCAGCACCCACAATAAACACCATCACAGATAGATAACAGACAGTAGGCTGCCAATTTAATAAGACTCCGTAACAAAGGAGACAATTGTCATCTCCACTTTTAAAGGATCAGATGGGGTTGTCCTCATACCATTTACCACTTGCCTTGAAAATACTGATAGATTTCTACTACATATTTGAGGAACGAAGAGAAAGGAGTTAAACTTTGGGTGAAGGTTAGATGAAATTAAAAAAAAAAAAACCTTTATTCCCTGCAATTTCAGATTATTATTTCAAATAAGGACAAGATTTGGAATTTACTCTGCCTGTTCCTCCTCTCTATTTCAGGCCCAGAACCAAGAGCTGGAGGAATTGAATAAGGAACTCAGGCAATGTAATTTACAACAATTCATCCAGCAGACAGGAGCCATGGTGACTACTCCACAGGCCAGATCAGAGGCAGAATCGCAGCTGGATCAAATTAGCCAAGAGTTGCCAACTCACCAGAGAAATGGAGGTCAGAATATAACTCAGTGGGCGGGAAAGAGGAGGGAGACAGGAGAATTGTTTTAAGGCTTCCCCAATCTGGTACCCTTTCAGAGGTGCTTTATAGATTGTGCAGGAGTGGCCATGTCACTGGCCATTATGAGAAGCATTAGCCAACATATCTAGAAGGCTCTCAGGTGTGAGGAAAAAAAGAGTATTGTCATTATATGTAAGTGTGGAAGATTGTAGTCTTGGTAGTGATATTTGAAATATATATCCTTTCTTCTACATTATTTTTTTTCCTGATTGGTCTCAGCAGGTGTCAGAACTTGGCTAGTGCTATTTATGTGGGCATGGAAGTGAAGCAAGGCTAAATATATTTAGTTTTTGAATAGGAGACTCAGGAATTCCAGGACTGCAGGTTAGACCAGGAACATTTTTTTTAGAAATCCATACTTTGCCTTCCAAGAAAACTGCATGGGGTGTGTCCATTTGGACACAAGATCTGTGCTTGACTTGAATTTAGAGTAAATTTAGAGATTGAATTTAGAGATTTGGTGTGTGTTAACTTCTCATCTCTGCTTTAGAAGAAACAGTGAGGAATATTGTGATAATGACCCTGATGTGTAGCCTCAAAAATCTCAGTTTAAATAAACAATCATTATAAAGACAATATCCCTTTGGGTAAGTGTAGCATTTTACTAGCTGTCACTTAACCAGAGTTAAACTTCCTGAAAAACTGTTTTGCCTATCTGAGCCAAAGCTGTTGTGAAACCTCCTGATCTACTGATTTCCCTGACTATCTTGGCGTGACCTATCAAGTCCAAAAGATATTGTGCATTATATTTGCCTTCTAATTATCAGGCTTCGATTCAGGCTCAGGAGTAAATTACAGGTAGCCCTCCGCTTACAATCACAATTGAGCCCCAAATTTCTGTTGCTAAACAAGGCAGTTGTTAAAGTGAGTTCCCCCCCATTTTAAGACCTTTTTTTGCCACAGGGGTGATAAGTGAATCACTGCAGTTCTTAAATGAATCATATTGTCACTAAGTGAATCTGATCAAAGAAATGCACCTTTGGGTCAAGGAAGCTATATTAAACTATCATTTTCCTTAGATTTGTTGGAACTCAGCAGAAACTCACCTCCCGGACCTACAGCCAAGCATTTCTTCGGCAATCCACAGAAGCTCCAGAGTCCCCTGGTGTCCAGCTTGAACCCCGAGGGTGTGTATGTTTGAAGGGGCCTAAGTCTCTTTTGTGCTTAATGCCTGGGCTTGTCAAGCAGGTCTCCAGACATAATGTTCTTACATTGGTTGGGGTAGCTTCCGGCTACAATAGAATTACTTTAGCCCTTCACCTTTCTTTCCTCTTTAGAGCTTGAATGGTTTTGTCTTTCCATGGTTGTCAAACCCAGTAATCACACCTGGCAAGTGGGAGGAGGGGTGGTGGAGGGGTGGGCTGTTTTACAACTTCCCTAACAAGGTCATTGCTCTACATTCTTCATCTGGGATCTTTCTACAAAGCTCCTTCAGTGTGTCAGATTTGGTTTATGTGTTTTGCGCTTTTAAAAATGGAGGTCGGAAGAGTGTTTGGGTATTTTTTGTTTTGCAGTATTGTCCATATCTTGTCAGCGTATTATAGCCTTTCCTTCTTATGTTTTCTTTGAGAACTGCTTTAATATCATAGGTTAAGAATATATGAGTCCTGATTTTTTTTCAGAGTACACCAGAGTAGTACAGGTGGTCCCTGACTTACGACTACAATTGAGCCAGAATTTATGTTGTGAAATGAGACATTGTTAAGTGAGTTTTGCCCCATTTGAGACCTTGCTTGCCATTTGTTTAATCACTGCAGTCGTTAAGCTAGTAACAAGGTTGCTAAGTGAATCTGGCTTTCCCATTGACTTTGCTTTGTCAGAAGGTCGCAAAAGGTGACCCCATGACCCCAGCATATTGCATGAGTCAGTGGCCAAGTGTATGACTTTTGATCACATGACCACGGGGGGTGCTGCAGTCATGTGAAAAACATAAGTCACTTTTTTTCAGTACCATCATAACTTCAAAAGGTCACTAAATGAATGGCTGTAAGTCAAGGGCTACCCGTATATGTTTTTGAGGTGCTGTTTCTTTTTAAGTAATGAAAGAAAGAAAATGAAAGGAAGAGATTTAATTCAGAGTCCTTAAAAAACAGTTTAAACATCTGAGGAGCTATATTCCACTGATTTTAAAAATGCTATTTGTAGTTGGAAGGAAATTTACCATAATTATTAACAGTCTGGTTCATAGTGAATAATCGTTCCAATTGAAAAAGTGACTTCTCAGAAGAACAACCTACTCCATGACCTTGAATTAGACAAACTCAGAGCATGGTTCAGGCTTAGGCTCAAACCCCAGTTTTTAATCTTGGAAACCTTAATTGGTCTTCATTGGTGAAAATGTCTCTGATGCTTTGAGAATATGTTACTATAAACAGATTCTGTACTGTTTATTTCTCCTATGCAATTCCCTTTTATTTAAATCGACAATAATTATTCTGCTATTATATTCTTAATCCCAGGAACCTTCATATAGAAAGTTTTGGGTATATTCTGAACCATGATCCTAGAAAGAAGAGGATAAAGAAGCCAGATCTTCCATATTTCTCTCTTTCTTTTTGTTCTACTTCATTAAATCAAATTAGCCTCTTCAAACTGTCTTTCCTTTACTGGAGGAGGTTGAATTTCGAGGTTGTTTTTAAGTCCAGGAGCCCATAATAATGAAATCCCAGTTTACGCTTACAGTAGATAGAAAATGTTATGTTTGCTAAAGAAGAGTTACATTCTGCATATCAGATTATTTAAAATATGTAGAAACTTCCAAATCTGGAATTTATTTCTGAAGGAATAAAGACCATCACTATTCTGCAGTTGCATGGAATAACATGCAACATTAAATAATGTTAATTATTTAATTATCAAACATTAATAATGTTAATAATGGGATCCCTTGTTTATTTTTATGTATCTTGCAGTTGTATCGGCAAAGCAGAGCATCTGGAGGTAAAAAGGCCAGCCAAGAAGGACTGATAGTTTTGCAAATATAACAGATATACAGATAAAAACTCTTAATTACATATGTATATTCTCCTTCTTAGATGGATATAGATGGTTGTGCAGAATATTTTTACAGGCTTTTTTTTAAGTAAAAAGGATATTTGGAGGAAGCAGACTGTATTTTTTTTAAACGTGCCTGTTATAATTTGAAAAATTATAAATGAAAAAACTGGAACAGTTTTGATGAAAATGTATGTAAGACTCCATTCTATAGAGTATAGACGATGCTTTGGACTGAATAGCCATTGCCTTTAGAGGGCTATGAGCTGTGCTGGAGAACTGTTCAAGGCAGAGAACAGCAAAATCTCTAGATCCATTCAGCTGCCCAACAAAAGAGGTGTGTATTACCAACCAGATTTCTTTACTAAACTCTATCGATGCACTGGAGCATTTCTTATTGTTTATTGGATGATGATCTTTTTGTTGGATAATGATTATATTTCGTAAAGTAAGTGGGTTTTTTTTTAATTTGATAAGAGAGAAATTATTCTATTCCTGATAAGAATATAAAAACAAGGAATACTACTCTGGGACAGAAGTTTTTGTGACCATCCATAGATGCCTTTTATGGTGTGGTTGATCCTGAGTCAGTCTTTTATTTAAAAAATCCTTCAGATCTGATAAAAGATGGGATTGAGGTGCTAGTCCTGTCTTGCCATTTGTGTCTCATGCCAAGTATTTTGTCATCCAGTGTTGTATGATGTAATTTTGCCTATAAATTGCTTCAGCATAGAAATGTGTATTCTCTACTCACACAATAATTTTGGAATCCAGACTATTCTAAGACCCAAAATAAAAAAAAATTCAAGTGAACGATTTCTTGGTATTTTCATACAGTGGGGAATATATGTGTTCCAACGGAGGCCAGTCACAAGAAAGACTGTCTTCTACTTTAGAGCAACTGACTCTTGGATTTGTCTGTGCGTCTTTCTTCTTTTCAGAGCAGCTTCTGGTGGGTTGGTTAAATGTTTTGAGTTGCACAAGAGAATGGCCAATGCAGAGATGGTGCAACAGAACCCCAGTAACCTCGTGATCTCCACGGGGGGGGGGGATGAGCAATTCAGAACTTTTCAGATGTTTTGGGCTGCAAGTCTCCTCAACTGCTACCATGACAAATAACAGGAAATGGATGGGAATTGCAGTCCACCCTGGAATGTGAAGCTTGTCTATCCCCCATCAGTCCTTTGGCAAAAGCCTGAATAGCATTTGAAAGGTGTTTCTTGTTAATAAGATACTTGCTTTGATTTAAGGATAGAGAACCCATATTGCTACCTCTGTTCCTCTGACTAGCTGCAGCTCATTTGGCCACATAATGGATTTAATTCACTATATGCAGTATTGGGACCTGATTTGAGGATTTCAAGGTCATAGGGAAGGAGAAATCTGAAAGCAGCAACCAAAGCAAGGAAAATACACCCTTCCCTTTCATTCCCAGTAGCAACTTAGCTCCATAATACAATTTGTGCGGCTGTTGGACATAGTGTAAGGAAAGGAAAGAGGCCACGTACATAGCCGGGCAAATCTGTGAGATGGCCACTGCCCAAAATTACATATGTTGTCCTCTGATTGTTACTTTCTCGCTGCTTTCAGTAGCTTCTTCCTTTTGTTGGTTGTTTTTGGCCATTCTCAGAATAGATTGAGAAGCTGTACGAATCCTGATGTGGATATGTTGAACTTTGATTAATCCGTTGAACAGCTAAAGTGATCTTTAGTGGAACATCAGATGAGCCAGATTATTCTCCAGATATATCACCCAGTGCCAGTACAACCATTTTTGAGGTAGTTACCCAGTAAAATAATGTTTAAAAAAACTTAGTATAGTTTGAGCATGCTAGAAAGAGTCCCGGGGCACAATATTTTTTAGAAGTGCTCTTCCCAGGTAGGCTAACCATCTGAACTTCAGTTTTGGATAGAGAATCAAATCATTCTTTGCTTCCAAACTTGTGTATCATTTTTGTACAATTCAGAACTTAGCATTAAAAAAAATATATTTTCTATAAACTGTCTTTCAGTAAAAACGACCCAATTTTTTTTCAAGTTAAAATATTTTCAACACTTTTTTTTTTTAAAGAAAAAAAAACATTCTGACTTTCTTTTTCCTTTAACTGCCTACATTTTTAAAGGCAAGTGGTGTTTGTGTTACCACTTTTAAATGAAGCCTGGAACACGGATTAGAATGGGGGACAGGAGGGGCGGGGATTACATTATTGCTCTTAACTCGGTAATTAACATTTTACTACCATCTTAATTTGCAAACTCAATTTACTTCTAAATACTAAACAGCATTATGACAGTAGCACAGGGGAGTTACATTAATAGAACCAAATAAAAACCCTGACATTTTATTCAGTTATGTTCTGTGTAACCTAATCGTATCTCACTGACAGTAGACAAAGGTAAGCACCATGTTTTGAAATGGGCAGATTACTGAACGAAGGAAGTAATTCCTGGTAGCATTTCTTGCTGATCGAGATCTCTACTTGGTCAGTCCATTTGAGGAGGGTTTGTATGTATTTGTTGCTCATGGCTGATGTATGACCAAGAAAAGTAAATGTATGCATGAAAGCCTGGGGGACTGTCTGGGGGACCACAAATAGCCTTGGAATCCCTGAACTTTTATTTTTTAATGTTTGATGTATATCATGTATATGAAATACGATTTACCTGCTTAAAAAGTGGGGGGGAAGGAGGTTCCATGTAAGAATGTGTATATGTCATGAACTAACGATATTTTCTGGATTGAGATTGTAATAAAATATTGAAAAGTGTTCATAAAGATGTCTCTTGTAATTTGTAGCAAGGATTGCGAAGAACACAACTGCCATCCTCTGTTACACATTGGCTGCAATGGAAAGTTTTCTATATTCTGTACTTGCAGGTGGTTCTGGGGGGGGGGGGGGGATATCTAGGCCTGGGATATTTCCCAACAAGAAAGAATCTCATTTTAGATAAGAGATGTAGATCCAGGTTACATCAGGCCAAGGTAAGGAATTGCAGTGAACTTGCAGAACTCTTCATTTGTAGCATTGCCCGTTTCAGATAACACATTTGAAGTATGCAATACAGAGAGTCCTCATCTTATGAACCACAACTGAGCCCAAAATTTCTGTTCTTAAGTGAGTTTTGCCCCTTTTTACGACCTTTCTTGCCACAGCTATTAAGTGAATCACTGCAGTTGATAAGTTGGTCACAAGGTTGTTAAATGAATCCGACTTCCCCATTCATTTTGCTTGTTAAAAGGCTGTCAAATGTGATCACATGACCTTGGGGGACACAGCAACGTCCTAAGTATGAACCAGCTGCCAACGTCTGAATTTTGATTACATGACCACGGGGTTGCTGCAAAGGTGAAAAATGGTCATAAGTTGCTTTTTAGCACCATTGCAACTTTGAACAGTCACTAAATAAACTGTTGTAAGTCGAGGACTATGTGTACTCATTGCATTCAAGCAGCGGGAATAAGCCTTAAGCATGCACCAATTTTATATTGCTCTTCAACTTTTTGCAGGGTCTTAGCCCAAGTGTTTTGGAGATTACCTACAGGTTGCATACATCATTCAGCCAATCTTTTAGGAAGATGGGGTCATGAATACGAGCAGCTGCCTGTCTACATATTGTGAGGAATGGCTCTCCTCTCTACTTTTAAAAAGGAATATATTGGAATTGCATTTAAAAACTTGGGAAGTTGGATTAGATTACAATACAAGAAATAATCATTGATTTCAGCATAAACCAAACATATGCCCCTTTATAAGAGAGGTCAGCAAAATTTGCAAGCAACAGAGAAAAATTTCAAAAATATATAATTAAATGGTCAAAATCTTAGGACAGTTTGGCTAAATCTTTAAAAATTGCCAGTGGGTGCCATCTAGTGGTATTACATACATACATACATTCTCTCTCTCTCTCTCTCTCTCTCTCTCTCTCTCTCTCTCTCTCTCTCTC